TCTCTACTCTTCCTTCCTAGAAGTCTTGCTTCCACTGCTCTAAGATCAGCCGTCTGTCCCTCGCCCAAATCCCCTTTCCAAACACACTCCTGATGAAGCATTTCCCTACATCCAGCTCAGTCGTCCTCCTTGTCCTCGGCTTCTGCACCTACAGTTTCAGCCAACCAGGGATGGAAAACATTCAGGGAAAAAATTATTCCAGGACGTTCCAAAAAGCAAAAGCTGAATTTGAAGCACACAGGTAACTATTTCCCTAGCGTTTACATTGTCTTTACAACTATTTACATAGCGTTTACACTGTTAGGTATTATAAACCTTCTATCTAGAGATGATTTAAAGTATATGGGAGGATCACATTGCCTATATGCAATTACACTATTTTAAACATGAGACCCTGCAGATCTCAGGTTCTGTGCTAAGTCCTGGAACCAAACCCGGCAGACACCTGGGGACCACTGTACTTCACTGTCTGGTACATTCATCTACTCCACCATCACTCACGGGGTGGTCACGGTGCTAGTCACTTGCAGAAAAGGAGAGAATGCGCATGTCCACATACCGAAGGGGTCCACTGCCCCCAGAGGGACAGGCAGCCAGGAGGCATCTGACCCAGCCCAGAGCATTCTCAAGTGATGGACAGCCCCTCCCTGTCCTCCCCAGCCCACAGCTCAAGGTGTTCTTCTCAGCACCTGGAAAGTGGGGAAATGCAGGCCACCAGGGACCCAACCATTGCACTTGGCAGACTGGCTGCAGAGTCCGTCTCCCGCGGCCTTCGCAGTCACCAAAGCCTCGGCGCTCTGAGCAGGCTGCCCCTGCAGATCCCGTAAAGGGGGACTTGGAGCAAACGCACCACGATCAGCCCCGAGACTAGGGAGCTGTTCAGTCTGCTGCCATCATAGTGCCTGGCACACCGCCTGGAAAGAGAACCTTCGGCAGGGGAGGGCTGCCTCTGCAGAGCCCTGCCACTCACTGTGTGAGACTCTGAGCCTCAGTTTCATCTTTGCCAAGATTATGGACAATGTGTCTCCCTCCCTAAAGAGCTGTTATTAGACTGACTGATTAATGAGTGTAGTTGAGGCCCCGAGTAAAACACGCAGCACTTTGTGAAATGAACTGCATCACAAACAACAAACAGACTCAACTCCACTTTGCCCCAGCCCATAAGTTCTTCATCTAGGTGCACAGCGGAGTGAATCCCGGTAAATATTTGTGTGGCCACTGAATTCAAAGGACGTAAGAAAGAGGATCTAATTGTTTTGTGACGCGGGAGTGTTCTATATGACTTGTGACCTCATTAAATCTTAGGATAAAGAGGTCTTCTATCCAGTTTACAAAGAAACTGAGGCACAGAGAAATTAAGAAAGTCTCACAGCTTCCCAAGGGTCATGCTAAGTTACTTCAGTCGTGTCCAGCTCTTTGCGACCCCGTGGACTGTAGCACGCCAGGCTCTTCTGTCCTTGAGAGTGTCCAGGCACGAATTCTGGAGCGGGTTGCCGTGCCCTCCTCCAGGGGATTTCCTGACCCAGGGATCAAACCTGCATTGGCAGGCAGGTACTTTACCACTAGCGCCACCTGGGAAGCCCAAGGATAGGGTTAAATATGAAGCCAGGACTGCTGGTTCCAAAGCTAGATGGCCTGTCCACAGAACCCCACCAAGTGTCGAGATGGAGGAAGGAGTGAGATATCATCCAGACCCCATCAGAGCAGTGAGGCACCTACTTCGGGGCCAGGCTCAGTGGGGCTCTGGAGGTGTCTGGGATAGCTAGCTGACTGACACCTCTGCATGGTCGGTCTTACCTAGTCATTCAGACAGCTGGAAATGCCAGTCAAGGTAGTCTAAGGGCAGGCTGCTGACTCCGCACAAAGGTTCAGGCATACTAAGGGCCTGGATTCGGCGTATGTCCAAATTTCAGGAGGCTCAGCTGAGCAGGAGAGCAGGCAGTGAATGAGGCTGACAGAAGATGTAGACTGAGCCTGAGGCCACTGCTCCCAGGGGTGTGGCAGACACCAGTGCCTGATTCCCTTGGGAGGCCCTTTGACACTCAGAGGGGTCCCTAGAGCTTGTGGTCCCCTCCAAAGGCTTTCTCCCATCCCCCTCCCTCTGATTCAGCTGTTCCCTCTCCCCGCCTTCCCCCAGGGCTGTGCTCTCCTACTACCTGCCAGAAGCACAGAAGGATTAAGTCATCCCTTTGGGCGATTTGGTGCTAATACCCAGAAATATGTTTTTTATTGCTCAGGCACAAGATTAGTGACTCTGACCACACATCTGCTCCCTTGCCCCCACCCCAGGCTCCTCCCTACAATTGAGCTGGCTGTATTGATAACTCTTCTGGCTCAACTTCCTGCATCCACATGTGCATACAATGCCAAGAGGAACTCTTGAGAGCCAAGGGGGAAACCAAAAAAAAAAAAAAAATCTGTTCAGACCTTCTCAGACCTGGGCAGTGGGGAAATGTAAGGCAGCTGGCAGTCACCCAACCCCTACGCTTTGCATTGTCTGAGCCTCTCCAACCAGGACCTGTTCTGGGCTACCTCTGCTCAGAACAGCAGTAGCTCAAGGCCTTCTGAAGAAGTGGGGAGAGACGGAGGCAAGGGGCATCTTCCTGCTGAGAGACCGAGGCACACAGGCGTTTTCCCACTGGGCTATGACCTCCACAAGTGTAGGGGGGATGACCCCATTCCCCAGCATGCTGGACAGTGTCTGCCAGCCAAATACTTCCAGAGGGTTTTGTGCCAGGCACTGCAGTAAGCCCTGTTAACAGATTAATCTGTTTAGTCTCACAAGCACTTGATGTATTCCTGTCAATTTGCTTGAGGTGGCTCAGACAGTAAAGAATCTGCCTGCAATGTAGGAGACCCGGGCTTGATCCCTGAGTTGGGAAGATCCCCTGGAAAGGAAATGGCTACCCACTCCAGTATTCTTGCCTGGAGAATTTCATGGACAGGGGAGCCTGGTGAGCTATAGTCCATGGAGTCGCAAAGAGTCGGACACAACTGAGCGACTAACACTTGTTACCTTAGTATCAATGCGATCCCTCATTCTACAGGAAAGGAAACTGAGGCACAAAGAAATAAATCACTTTAAGTCACACCAAGTTGAGTACTTTAACTCCAGTGGTCTCAATATACTTGAGATACATTTTCTTCTACTTTGAAAGAATGACCAAGAATTCAAAAATTCCCAAGAGAATGGTGGTTACTTTCCTTCAACTTTCTCTAAACATCACAAAAATAAGCCCTGGAGGACAGAATGGTGATGGTGTGAGAGACAAAAGCAGCTCACTTTTACCTGATGAATGGCTTTTAGGCTTTTGAAGGTATGAACTAATAGGATTTTTAAAAGACATTCACACTATCACTTTAAACTATGACCCTTTTAATCAAACCACACCTGCCCTCATCTGCACTTCCAATTTGCATTTGCTTTAAAATAAATCCTATAATTAACTTATAACCATATTATTTTTGCTTTGTATGGGGGGGTTAAAAGAGCTAATTTATAAAAGATAAACATCTTAAAATGCATTGTCATCTTTTTGCCGCCTTCTTTCTGCACACTTTTGCATCTTTAAATTCACTAGAATTAATTCTGCTGGGATGTCCTGATTACTCCCTGCTGATACTGCCTTTCTGTTCCCAGGGTGGAGCTGGGGGGAGAGCAGGACAAAGGCGGGGTGGAAGGTGGCTAAGAATTAGTTCAAATCACTGATCCTGAGAAGCTATTGTCTTCATTAATCTTCATCAATGAAATAGTTGGGTTGACTTAGGGTGGATTTTGGTGGGGTTAGTTTAACACTGAGCCTTTACAAAGCATGCCCTTTTAGCCACCAGTTCCGAAAATTACAAAAGTAGAGATCATTATCAGCTAACTGACTGGCAGGGGCTAGAGATTCAAACATGCTCAGTCTTAAATGATGATCACTGCCACAGGGCACAACTTTTAAGAATACCCAACACAGAAGAAAAAAAAAAAAAAAGAATACCTAACACAGAACAGATTAGAGGGTTCCAGCCCAGGAGGAAAGTGGTGTGGAGAAAAAGTCCCACAGGGCTACAGAAGCAGAGTTAAATCAGATCTCATGATGAACCCAAATAGGGAGGAAAAGAGGATTCTAAGTGATGAAATCCACAAGCTGCCTCCATGAAACAAAGTTTGAGAAAGTTGCCTCTTCACTAAAGGAATAGGAGAGACACTCAACCTCAGTGCCAGCTACCCAGAGAAGCTGAAGACTGATTTAACTCCACTCCACATGCCTCCCTCTTCCTGATCTGGAGATGTTTGATCTCCCCAACACAACTGCACCTTGCCCACATCTCCCTAGACCCCCACCCTGCTGTGTCTATCTCCAAAAACACTGGAAAACTGGGGGCTCCGTTCTCCCAAGACAAGCTGAAGGTTGGGCCCTTTGCTGATGCCGCCTGCGCTGATGGGACTAGCAGACCAGGACTGTGCCTTGCAGTCCCATTGGGTAAATAACCCTGCAACTGGAACAGCAGCATGTGGAGGTCACACTGCAGGAGGCACTGCATCAGTGGACAGCCACCCAAACCTGGAATTTTCGCAGTGAAGACAGCAGAAAAGACAGACCCTTTTGTTTCCCTTCTGGGAAAGAGGGGGGAAACTGAGGCCTTGGGGCTCACAGGGACCTGCCTCAGATCACACAGCTAGTTAGTAACCAAAAAGATAGCCTAGCTGTCCTGATTCCTATGTGGTAGGAATCCCCCCACATCTTTAATTTTAGAATCCCCAAGTATGCCATTACTAATAGGGTAGTCACTGGAGTTGAAATAACAGCAACAGTAACGACATAAAGCAAAAGAAAAATCTGAAAATGTGGAGAAAGTTCTTTTCCTCTCTTCTGTAGCCCAAAGTCAGCCAAGTTCCTTGAGATCAGGATGGAGGCAGATCTAAAAGAATTAAGTAAATTAAAAGTGAATTAAGTTTCTTTCAAGAGGCAGGAGGGAGGAAGAAGCGCCCAGACCCCAGCGGCGGTACTCACTGGCGCTCTCTCTGCAGGTAATGGACCGGAGCAGGCACCCAGGTAGAATGCGGCGCTCTGGTATATATAGGGAAGGTGTTGCGCAAAAAGGCCGGCGGCAGCTGCAGTCATCACGCCCCTCGCACATTCCAGGACCACCTGCTGCTGCCGCCGCCAGGGCACTGCCTACCTGCTTGTTTAATGAGCCCATCGTGACCTAGCCGGCTACGCCGAGGAAAGAGGCGGCCAGGCTTGGGAGCGAGATCTCAGACGGCGCCCCCCGCGCCGGCTCCGCGGCGAATGCCCCCGCGCCCGGTAGGCAGGGGGCCCTTGCGCCCTGAGCCCCGCCTTGTCACCGGCCCCAAGATCCCAGCCAGGGCGACCTAGAGGAGCTCCTCGTCTTCCCCAGCTTTCTCCTCCCCAAGAACCTGAATCCTCTAGTTTAGCTGCTCTGAGCCCGAAAAGGTCAGTGACGTTGAGACTTTAGAAGCCAACTGGAAACTCAGGGACAAATCCTTCCAGAACAAAGCCAGGATTGTTTGGTCTTAGGCTCGGAGATGCTTTCTGTCCTGGTAGCTTGGACAGTCAGACACTTGGCCAGCTGGAGCCCTGGGTCTGCGACAGGCTGAGAAAATCGCAGGGCTGCTCACCACCAGATCCTCCCACCTGCCTGTCCCGGCTTGGGCAAAACTTGACCCTTCTGCTCTGCCCTGTATTCCTGGTGTGGCCACATGTTTCTGCATCCTGGCTTTGAGGAGACCTGTCCCAGGGAGACCCCATCATGATGCTGATCGAAGTAACAGCCCAGTTACCTGTGGAGCAAACATTTCCCCTAGAAGGGCTTCCCTGGTGCCTCAGGCCATAGAGCAAATGGTCTGACCCGCAATGCAGGGGACCTGGGTTCGATCCCTGGGTGGGGAAGATCCCCTGGAGGAGGAAATGGAAACCCATTCCAGTATTCTTCCTTGGAGAATCCCATGGCCAGAGGAGCCTGGTAGGCTCCAGTCCATTGGGGCTGCAAAAAGTTGGACCCAACTGAGTGAGTAACACTTTCACTTCCTTGGGGAAAGAGCAAGCTCCCTTTCCAGTGGAGGTTGGAGAGGTTAGCGGACATAGGATCCCTTAGAGTTGCTGAGCTGGGATCAAGCTTGGGTTTTATTCCAATGCTGAGGCCCTTTCCCTCTGTCAAATAGTCCTGGTTTTACAGCTGAGGAAAAGACTTAGCAAATTTATTTGTTGCTCAGCTGCCAGCAACTAATAGTGGAAGTATCCCACTGGAACTAGGGTGGTTTCCTTTTCTGGCCATAAGGGGGAGAAACTCAGGAGTGCGGCTTCCAGGGAACCAGAGCCAGGCTCTCTGGGGCTGAAAAGTTAGTTGGTCACTCACAATAACTCCTGGGTCCAACTGCCTGAGACCAGTGTCCTGTCTTGCCCCTTGCTTTTTCCCTGCCTTTGTCTGCTGTGTGTAAAATGGGAATAATGGTCTCTGTCTGTTAAAGTGAGCTAAAAAATATATAACACATAGAACAGTACCTGGCACATGAGGAGTACATGTCAACTGTTAGAACTTCACTAGAAGCCTCTGGTGTTGGGAGATGGTGGGAAGATGTGATTAGACTCACCTGGAACCTTGGGAGTCTGAGGTCATTACTCCACAGTCTCAAACGCTGGTCTCTTTAGTCCAAGGGCTGACACATATTGCTTGAGAGTGGGCACTAGAAATCAAATCCAATGGGCCTGTTATTATTAGAATGATTTTGCCACTGGGTGCTGTTCAAATCCAGCCCTTGGAGACAGTGAGCAGGCAGCACCTCTCCTGGGAGCGACTTCCACAGCAGAGTCCACCAGTGATAGGGATCTGCTGGCATGCGTTCATTGAGCTCAGCCCTACCTCTAGCCCTGGGCAGGTGGCAGATTCATCTCGGGGATTCCCAGGGCGGGCCTTAATTGCACACTGTCTCCCCCAGTAGGTGTGGACTCTGTATGGGATATGGATCTAACTCAATTCACAATGCCTTCCTATCACTCCCAACAAGGATCTGACAAATGGAAATTTCAGAAAACCTGGAGTAGGTCTCAGGTCCTATGTCCGCTTTTATGGTCCAATGAAAAAGGCAAAATACTGGTTCAGTCAGGAGGCACTTTTTTTTTTTTTAATGGAAATGGATTTCATTTAGAGGTCAGAGATGCTATCTGCTTGATTCTGGTTTTGGATTGTGGGGTTTTATATTACTTTGTGTGTGCTAAGTCACTTTAGTTGTGTCCAACTCTTTGCAACCGCATGAATGGTAGCCCGCCAGGCTCCTCTGTCCTTGGGGATTCTCCAGGCAAGAATACCGGAGTGGGTTGCCATGCCCTCCTCCAGGGGATCTCCCTGATCCAGGGATCAAACCTGAGTCTCTTATTTCTCCTGCATTTGCAGGTAAGCCCTTTACCGCTAGCAAAAGGGTGGATAGGGTGTGTGCATATAAAGTCTATAATCTGTCCCCTTAGGGGAACATACTTTCCTATCTTCATTCCAATCCTAATACAGAAGGCTATCATCACTCAGCACTATAAAGCACAGTCTATGGTTACTTCCCTCGGAGAAGGCAATGGCACCCCACTCCAGTACTCTTGCCTGGAAGATCCCATGGACCGAGGAGGGACTGAGCGCCTTCACTTTCACTTTTCACTTTCATGCACTGGAGAAGGAAATGGCAACCCACTCCAGTGTTCTTGCCTGGAGAATCCCAGGGACGGGGGAGCCTGGTGGGCTGCCGTCTATGGGTCGCACAGAGTCGGACACAACTGAAGTGATTTAGCAGCAGCAGCAGCATGGTTGCTTCCCTAGCCATAAACTTCTAAACTGCTTTCCTTCAGCAAACTTGATCTGCATACTGCTGTCCTACAAGGTAGAACTGGCTGATTAGATGGGCCCAGCTAGAGGCCACACAGTATCTTGTCCAAAGTTACAATCTCTGTGCTAATCCATGTCCACATTCCTTATTGAGTCCCTGGGGCCAGACGTAGTTCAGAATATAAAAATTTATATTTTTAGAAAACAAGATGCAGATACTCCAATGGGACTTGGGCAGTACCCTGTGATCAAACTCATTGATATTTTTACTGTAAAAATGTATACATATTGGTATTAAGTGGAATAAACTTGATTTCATACATCAGGCTAGGGCATGGAATGAGTTTTTAAATGGCAGATTATAGATCATAACTGCTTTTTTTTTTGCCACGGCCAAGTATTTTATATTTATTTTTAATATTTTACATGTGTAGGATATTCTTCATTATATATACATGTTTTCCATTTATCTATACTTTTACTATAAACATTTTTATTTTTATTAAGTTTTTGTTCGTTTTTGGCTGTGCAAGATCTTAGTTCTTCGTGCATGTAGTCATGTGCACGGGCATGCTTAGGAGACCAGGGATCAGACCCATGCCCCCTGCAGCTCGGAGTCCTAACCACTGTACCACCAGAGAATTCCCTATGAGCATTTTTTAAACGCTTCAGGAATTTGCATGTCATCCTTGCACAGGGACCATGTTCATCTTCTCTGTATCGTTCCAGCTTCAGTATGTGTGCTGCCTAAACAAGCACCCTATAAACATTTTTAAACATGCAGAAAAGTGGAAATATTTTTACACTGCTTATGTGTATACATTCTACCTAGATTTCGTAATAAACATTTTACTATATTACTTGCTTTTATTATGTATCTATCCTTTCATCAATTTTCCTGTTAATCCACTCTTTTGCTTAATTTTTACATCAGTTCACGTCAGCTATAAATTCTTCAGCATGCATATTATTAACCAGGGTTCAATATTTCTTTCTGGTTTATTTTCTAAGTAATATTTACAAAAGTGAATGCAAATTGTAAATGTACCTTTTGACACATTTTGACAAATGCGTAAGCTTGTGAAACTCAAACTCTTTATCGAGGTACAGAATATTTCTATCACCCTAAGAAATTCCTTCATACCTCTTCCCAATAACTCTAAACTCACCTTCCCTCAAAGGCATGACTTTTACACAATTGTTTTCCACAAGAGTTTAGCTTTTTCTGTTCTCAAACTCCATATAAACGGAAATGTATAGTATGTGCTCTCTTGTGACAGATGTGATTCACTTAAACTAATGTGGCCTGTATCAGTAGCATTTCTACTTTTTTAATTGAGGTATCATTGAAATATAATATTATATTAGTTTCAGGTGTACAACATAAATGTTCACTATTTGCATATACAGTTAAAAGGATCACTACAGTATGTCTAGTTAACACCCGTCCCCATGCGTAGTTACAAAAATGTTTTTCTTGTAATGAAGACTTTTAAGGTCCTTTATTGAGTGCTTACTGTGTACAAGTACTGTTGTAAACATTTTGTATATATAGAGAGAGTCATTAATCTTTGTAACACAATGAGCTAAATATAAAGACTGAGAAATGAGGCCCCAGAGAAGTCAAACAATGTTAAACAATGTCCACCAATGTTACAAGACTACTAAGTGGCAGAATTAAGATCTTAACCCAGTTACCAATTTCAATCACATAATCAGCAAAGTTTTCTGCTACTTTCTTACCTCCTTTTCCTTATAGGGATATTTGTTGCCCAGAGGACTTGTATGATGAGGAGGATGAAATAAAATGGACAACCCAGAAACACATATGGATACTTGCTTTACAACAATATCACTGCAGGCAGTAGGTACAGAAAATCTGCAATAAATGGTATCCAGATGGAAACAAATGAAACTTCACTCTCCACCTATTCCCTCACTGCCCCCCTGTCCCCCCAAGGATTTATCTAGAGGCAAAAGGCAAAACAATAGGACTTCTAGAAGACAAAATAGACAAGTATTCATGAGCGAAAGGTAGGAAAGCCTTCTTCAACAGGATACAAGATATTCACACAGAGCATGTGCAATGCCCTGGTGGGTCAGATAGTAAAGAATCCACCTGCAATGCAATGGAAAATCCCACGGACAGAGAAGCCTGGTGGCCTCAGTCCATAGGGTCCCACAAAGAATCAGGCACGACTAAATCAACT